ATATATATATATATATATATATATATATATATATATTGATATAGTATGCATTTTGAAACAAGATCAATGATGGTTGTGCTTATGCATCTATTCAGATTCAATAAATAATTTTATGTGCTATGAAAGTTTTATCCTAAATTAGAATTTTATTCTATAAAAATTAATATTTTTTTGAAAACTAAATTAAAAAGATTCTATTTCTAAGGAAAATGTTAACTCGAGAGATATACAATTATAAACAGACTTATATTTTAGCATTCAAATCTTATTAGATAATCATAATATAGAGATGTTTATTCAAAGATTCATAAAAAAATTATCATTTATTTATCCCTTCAAACTTTGATGTCTTAGATATAATCATAAAAATTAAATGAGACGTCAAACATGTTAGAGAACTTCTAATACTACTACTAGTTCTATTATCTATATGTATTTAAATCACTACTTTTTTTTTATTATTATTTATGTCACTATAGGCCAATTCGTTTAGTTCAAATACAGAAATGAGGGTTCACATAGCCTATTTTATTTTAATTTTTATTGAGATATAGTTAAAGTTGTCGTTGTTGTTATGCGACTTAGATTTTTTGCTAGAGGATTTTTTTGTCATTCTTCCATAAGATAACTAATATTTAAATATTTATTACCAAACAAATCAAAAAGGATTTGTGTACATTTTTTACTAGAAAAACAAAAAGTAAAAACCTTATAATAAGTATATTAAAGAGTAAAGGATTTTTTAAAGCTTACCAATGACACACCAGTTTGTGGGGCAATCGAAGATAGAGGAACTGCCATTATTGCATCTATACGATCAACTTTGTGATGCTTATCCATTTTCTAGAAGAAAATATGAAATAAAAAAGTTATGACCGAATAAATCAAAACATTTATGTTCATCTCTTAATTGAAAAAAAACTTAACACCTTATAATAAGTATGTTAAACAATCGAGAAAATTTTTCAAAGCTTACCAATGAGACACCACCATGTGGTGCAATAGAAGATATGGGGATAGCCATTATTGCATTTCTGCGAGCATTTTCATGGTGCCTATCCATTCTCTAGTAGAAAATATGAAATTAATCAAAGTTGTAATAAAATATCAAAGATAAAGAAATACTTGTTTTTCCATAAGTCTTATGATTTTAAATACAAGTGCAATGATTTTCATGAGAAACTCAAACTTCTTAGAAACTTTTCTAGCATCTTCACATTAATTTTGTTTTTATTCTTGTACAGAAATTATAGTTTCAATGGTCACACAAACTAATTTATATTTTAATATATTTATTTATAACATAGTTTTAGGAGAGCAATAATAGTAAGTCAAGTGCTCTATGTTAATTCAAAGTTTGTTCAATTTTCATCAAAATTTACCATGTTTAGTTAGTAGGCATTTAGATGAAAATTGGGTAAGTGATTTCATCTCGTGATTTAAATTATGAGATGAAATCTCAAATTCTCCAAAAAAACTTGATTTGATAATTTCATATTACGATTTCCGATTTTTCGAATACCAACAATGACCCACAAAATTATATTTCATATATAAATAATAATGATACAACTAAAGAATTTTTTTCAAGGATACGCAAGGACTAATGAAATATATACAAAAAGTGAACATGATGATATATTTACTAATTCTATTAACAACGGTCAATTTTATTAAAGAGTAAATAAATTAAAGTTAACTACAGCTCATTTTTAATATTATCTTTTCATTAAACAAAATAAACTTTGAACAATAAATATTGTATTTTTTAAAAATAACTTTTTTATATTGTATTGTTCTTTTAAGTTTTGTCCAGAGGTTTGTTTTATGTGATATGATTGTAAATATAAAAAATTGGGATACATTTGATAGTTTTCATAACTTATGGGAGTATTATATTATATGCCAAAAATACAATTTAAAAAACAAAATTGCAAGTAGAGACACAGCTTGAACTTGATTTCATATTATCATTTTATCTCACATGGTTGTCAATTAATCTATTATTTATTGTATGGATATGAAGAGTTCAAAAGACTTCCATATGTGGTGAGTCTAATTAAAGATATATGTTTTATTTCCTTCATTACCACACGGACCGAGGTCATATTATACTAATTTTCTAGGTAATGTATGGTTTGAATTTGAAAAAAAAAATATTTCTATATATTTAATACTTGAAAACAAATTCACTCTGAAAAATAAAAACATTCTTCACGCACCATAGGCATCAATTCTATAATAACTGTTTACTGTGTTATGAATCTTTTCTTGGTATATTTTAGAATACTCATAATCCCTTTTGGTTTAGAAAACCTTTTGACCTAATAGATTTCGAACTTAATATATTTTCCTTCTTGGATTTGGAGAACTTTTTCCTTATAAGTCCGGGACAACTGAAATATATATATATAGAGACAGAGATATAGTTGGGGATTATAAAAGCATGGTACATGACACAATGTATTTCAATTGGCTTGAGAAAATTGTACGGAAAACACATCTTCTTTTATTTCATAGTGGAGAACTCCCTTTCTTTCTTCTTAGAGGATTAGGCCTTGTTGAACTTCATTAAATCCTTATATTATTTTTTGTTCTCTATTATTTGTTTGTGTTGTGTGCTAGTTAGTCCTCTATATTCTCACAAAAATAAATAATGTTATATGGATTAAAATTATCTTGAAAAACTTATCATTCATTACATTAATTTAGGGCCTAACTAAGAAATGACACAATAGTAAAATAGAACTTAAGCTTATTAAATAACGTTTAAAAGTATTATTTAAAATATTATTACTCATATACTTGACGAGTCCTCAAATTAGACTCAACTATGGTCTTATTTAATGCAAATAGTATCCTCGATTGATTATTTTATCTCGATATCTTATAAAACACCTAAGTTTCACGTATTTGTGGATTATCTAGAAGCGTGGACACTTAAGCTCAAAATGAAAGAAAAATGGAGAAAAAGAGTTGAAGATGCAAAGGTGTGCATCGCCAAGCACACTTGGTGATCCGTCGAATAGCAAAGTTTCGACTTATGTTACAGCAAGTGAGACATAAATTGGAACTTCGCTGATCAGATCGGCGAAATATAAGATTATCGCCTACCGATAAAGATCACAAGGACAATGAAGGCGTCATGCAACTGGTGACAAACTGAACAAAGGGTGATTCGCTGAATCATTCGACGAATCACGACTAACTATGCTGAAAAGATTCGCTAGCAAAATTTTGAAGTCTCTAAATATTGAACGCTTTAATTATGATAAAGAAAATAAGAGAGCAAAACAATTTTACACTTGATATTTTATTTTAGAAACTTTCTTCTTATTTTCTTCATTTACCTTTTTTTCTACTTTTAATATTAAATGTATTATACCCACTTGATATCTTTATCATTTTAAGTATATTTATTATTTCTTGATGTGTGCCTAAAAAAACTTATTTTTGGGGTGTGTTTTAGAAATTATGGGTTGATTAATTTGTTAGGTCCTATTAGGTTTTAGCTTAGATTACATTTTAATGGTAATTTCACCTAGTGGTTGTGGTTTTACCTAATAGGTTTGTAACTGTAAATACAAAACTTCCCATGTGTTTTCGGCTTAATCAACAGATAGGTCGTGAAACTAAGACCACTAGACTGATCTCCAAAGTAGTGGGTTGACATATGGTTAAGTGAGAGATGGTGAGCCCTAGTCCCATATTCAAGCACTACCATCGAAAGAGTGAGTGCGGATAAGGCGTAAGATGGATAGTTTAGACGAGTGGGTCTCTGAGAAGAACCCATGTGATATGGGGTAAATTTCTTCAGAAGGAACTTCCTTTCATCTAAAGGATAGGCTAATCACCATTGCCTTGCAAAATTAGCTACCTAAAGCATACGCCCAACACTTTTATCTTAACATATAACAATCACACCCAAGAACTCTCTCTCTCTCATATTTTATCTTCCTTTTTATTTTTTGTTATTCTATTACTTGTCACAAAACCCCTTATCAATATTTGACACATTGGTGTCACAAATTAAATTTGTTTGTTTTTGTATTCGAAAATGTCCTAATTTATCTCTATTTAGAACGAAACCTAAGTAGTTACTACCTTAACTACCACTCCATGGGACACGACCCCAACCCTTGGTTGGGTTACTATACTAGCTTCGATTTGTAGAACCTAAGACTATACACTAGTGTCATTGATCACGAGCTAAAATTAAAAATAAAAACAAAGCATCAAAGAATAAAAATGGAGCCACTACCAGGGAGTTTTGTCATGTAAAAATGTAGCTACTTATAGTTTTTAGTTCTTTGTAACGTAGCTTTTACTAAAAAAAAATTATTTTGTGGTTCATTGTTTTGTGTCATTGTGTATTTATGCAGAGTAACAAGAGTGGAAAACAACTGCAGAATTCACACAGACCATCCCCTCTTGAATGTGTTAAACCTCAGTGAATACCTCATACCTTTAAGCATGTAGAGGATAAGACTCTTAAGGAAATGTGGTTGTAGTTTAAAAAATTATTAGAACCATGCCCATTTCAGGGGATGACCAACAAGGTTTTACTAGAATGCTTATATAGAGGTATTAGGACCGAAACTAGAAGTCTCATCGATTAACGCTTACCGGGAGGTATACTCCTTCACCCCTACGAAGTGGTAGCCCGTACCCTTGATAATAGATATAACTTATAAAGGAAATGAAGAAAACTACGAGTGGGATTCACTTATAGCTTAAGTAGACAATCTATCCCAGCGACTGAAGGAGATAGAAACACACGATAAAATGGTGAATGAGCTGAAAAATAACATAGAAATGTTGTATGACACAACAACCCAAAAACTATAATAATTCAATATCAAGATGATAAAATTCTTGAGTTGATACCATGTCGTCATCCACCATTCGCGAGAGGCTCGCCTAACTACACCATTGGTGAACTCGAAGAAGAAGAATAAAGGTTGACTGGCGTCGTGACATAACGTTAACTAAGGCGTTGTCTGTGAGGCAACCCAAAACCCTGTAAGTATTTTAAATATCTTATTAAATTAAGGGTGTTTTGATTTTGTAGATTCATGAGTGGAGGGCTTCTAAAGGAAACGGTTTGTGGCACACAAGTTACGTTGGCAAAGAGCCAACTTGATTATTGATTGAGATAATGTCCGCTTTTTAACTCTACAAATAAGCTAGAGGTTCTGTATGGCTAAGCGAAAAAACAAAATCGCTTGGTGTATCGCCAATTAGCTGAGCAGAGTTTTAACTTACGTCACCAATGGAATTAGATATGAAAATGTTGTATAAAATCACTGCCTTTAATTCTCCAAAATTTTTACATTACTACCATTCTGGATTTTACTCTTTACAAAACTGTGGTATCTCGCAAGTATTTGAAGTTGAGTTATTATTGCTTGAATCTAGATCTACTGTCCGCTTATCGCCTAAATCTTCATCAGATCAGTAGCAAAGATTTGTCCTACATGACCCTCCTTCAATTAAGATATTTTCTATTTGGAGATATGTTTTTCCCAAGTAAGGTATGCTAAACTCTCTGATATGGGAATGATAGAAATTTGAATACTCTAGGCAGAGTTATGTGGACACAACTAGCAGTTGAGTAGAGAATTTTGTAAATTCTCCTTGAAGGGTTAAAAGGTCGATTTATGGAAAGTAGAATTACAAATAGATTATCAGCTAATCTCGCAAGCAAGATATGGCCCACCGGGACACTCGGGGGTCATTAAAACTGATTGAGTCATAAATGGCCCCAGTCTGCACATAGAATGCGTTTAACAGTCGGCATAAAGAGTTTGAGTCACTGAATATTATATATAGTTTCCCTAACGGATTTCGTTTACATATCAACCAAAACCTAGATTAATCCTACTAACAACATCTGAATCTTATTTGGATTGCAGGTATAGCCAGATTTAAAGTTATAGAAAAACTAACACCTCCTCAAGGAAAAGCAACTGGGGGTACGTAAAATACACCGATATGCACAGAGAGAGCAAAAATGAAGATACTTACTTCAAGTAGAAATGGCAAAGATATCCCGATTCCCCAACAAAAATCATTAAATAGGGCAAAGGATGATGGGTTCAGAATTATTCTTGAAGAAAAACTCTTATCCATAGATGGAGTAATTAATATATATCCTGAAATTATGAGCACACAGAAGTGTCACCACTTCCAGGTTTTCACTAAGTCGTGTGGCTCATACATTCCAAGTCTGGTTCGAGAGTGTTACACATCATATAAATCTCTGATGCAATTGGGAATGAAACATGTTGCAATAGTTAAGCCAATCAATTCTGTATTAGTACAGGGGACAGTTGTCCAGCATGATCCCGACAGTATTAATGTTATCTTAGGTCATCCTAAACACATGGAGGAAGCATGCAAACACCTATCCAAAGCAATATCACTGGATAACATGAAAGATTGGTTAGCTCCCCTAATTTCATATGATACCCTAAATTGATTAAGGGATGGCATAACAATTGAAAAGAAAAGACTAAATGTAGTAGCTTGATATTGGTTTTGGTTTTATCAGTAGCTTAATCATGCCTTCACAAAATGAATCTATCATACAGCCTGCAAGGGTCGCATGCCTAGGATGCTTTATTGACAGAATTCAATTCAATTTGGGGGAGATCATAAATTTTGAGATCCTCATGATCTTAAAATGGTGCAAAACATCAATTTCTTTCCCAGTATTGATCAGTAAATTGTGCAAACAGCTCAAGTACCTAAAGAAGCTCAACGGAATATGTTAATCACTCCTACATCATTCACCGACATTAGAAGAATCGAAGCAGGATACCTTAAGGATCTGTAGGAGAACAATTTAAAGTGAACAGTTTCAAAAGACGATACAACTAATACAACATGGAAAGTTCCTACTATGATTAGAAATAAACTTACCGCTATCATCGCATGTCACGTTTACATCACATAAGCTATGGTTTACAGAATAATAGAACTTGCTCAGACACCGAATCATCGAATAGTTTCCCTAGAAACCTCTATTGTAGGAACGATCGAGATTGCTCTGACTATTGTTGTTAAACCAATAAAAACAACTATTGATGAATTTCAGGCAAGAATGGGTGTGTGCAAATGTAACTAAAGAACCATTGATAAGATGCAACATAAAAGGATGTGATCACAATAATGAAAACGTAAATAGAGTAGGTGAAGTCCATCCTTATGTCTCGGCGAGTGACTAAACATGAACATGAACTCTGACAAAAAGCTACATCACTGAGGACACACCTGATACTGCTGACAAGGAACCAATGAGATAGAACAAATCTTGATGGGGGCAGCAGTACTAGTTTCTATCAGGAGTAAACACCCTACTATCTTTAATAGGGGGAAACACACCAACACACGGAAAAACAACTTGAACATGATTTCTTTCCTTACTCTCTCTTCCATATAACTTTGAATTAACTTCTGTGTATCATATGAACTGCACTTGAGGACAAATATTTTTTATTGTAGTAGGGTGAGGCCAACCTTGTTTGGTTAAGCTGAATTTTGCATGTTTTGAGATGGGTTGTCTTTTTCAAATTGTGTTTTAAAATCTTATTTTTTTGTGGATTGTTGAGCTTATGGCTCGCTTTTTGGGGTCTTAATTTCAAAATAATTTTGATCCTTCCAAAAATTTTAATTTCGAAAATTTGCCCCCTCTTGTGATGAAAGTGGTTGTTCTTGTACAAATTTAAGTCTTCGTTTAAATCATACTGATAACTTAAAAGGTGCTCTCAATTGAACAAACATGAATGTGCGGGTACCACAAAAAGGAATGAAGTTACATAGCCAATATGTGAACTCTTAGCATCTCGCAGTAATTATCCAATTATTGAATTGATTCTTTTGCAACGACCATTGTACACCAGCAAAAAATTGATTTCTTATTTTACCTAAGTGTCAATGTTTAGTGTGATGATATTACTTTGAACCTTGGATGAATAAACATAGAATTTTCCCAATTAGTTAGTCTGATTGATTTAGAAAGGTGTCCTCTTGAGATGATCTTATGCTCTAATCAAAGAGTCAAAGCCAATTTTGACATATACCTCTTCTGTGGCGTACACCGTGAGCGTGTGAAACTCAGTTGAACACCCTTTGAGCCTTACCTCTTCTTTGGAAAAAAATTATGACACCAAGACCTTATGGTATCCATCACGTTTAATCCACTTGATATGTGACATAAGTGAATAACCAACATAGGCCAAAGCCTAAGTTGGGGGTGTGGTATGAAGGGAAAGGAGAAGTCAAGAAGTGCAGGAAAAGTCTCACAAACCCATGGTATTGCGTAGAAATGGAAACCCTTGATACATGAAAAAAAGAAACAAAAAGAGAAGAATGAATAAGAAGGTTGTGGAATAAAAGCACAAAAAGAAATCAGATTTCCAAGCAATCCATGGAGAAGAATGACACAATGACTTAAAGGCACTTGAATAAGGATTTATCAATTAACAAAGAAGATGTGTTGAGAAATTCACATCTCATTGAGAAAAAATCCACCGAGCCTAAATAACCATACCTTTTTCCTCACCCCCCATTAAATTTCTTAGAAAGACATTTTTATCTTGATTGAACGAAACGAAAGTCAATTGCAAAATAAGGGCAAACCTATGGGTAAAAACATGAATTGTACCCCCTCTTTGTGAGTGTGAGTATTGCATCAGATTCATGAACTTAAGTTAATAAATCTACATGTATAAAAATGGAATCATTCTTTGTGTAAGGTCATGTAGATACTTTTGTTGAGCATGAACTTTTATTAGAAGACAATATTGTGAGCTCGAAAATCTTTGGTAATGGTGTGTCACAACTTGAATCTTTGAATATACAACTGAGGTATGCATGAGTAATTTAAGTCTTGTTGTGCGTATTAACGATTGCGTTTTGTGTAGCACTATTTGAGATATCTTACTTAAAAGGATGAACTTAATTTTATCTGAGGACAAGAAAAAGATTAAGTTTGGGGTGTTCATGAGTCCTCGAATTGGACTTATCTATGGTCTTATTTAATGCATATAAGGTCCTTGATTGTTTATTTTATCTCAATTTATGATAAAAACTCCTAAATTTTAGGTATTTGTGGATTTGAAGGAGCATGGACACTTAGGCGTAAAAAGGAAAAAAAGGGACAAAAAGAGCTGAAAATACAAAGGTGTGCATCGCCAAGCTGCCAAATAGAAAAGTTTTTTCCTTCTGTCATAGCAAGTGAGCCTGAAGGAAGTGGATCAAAAGGTGACGAAAATAATCAGCCGAATCTTCGTTGATCAGTTCCATGAAGCAGAATATTACCACCGATCGACCCAGAACACATAGATAAGGAAGGCATCGTGAAAATGGCGATGAACTCAAAAAAGGGCGATTCAGCGAAAAATGACTAATTGCTCCGAAAAGATTTTCCAGTACAATTCTGAAGTCTATAAATATTGACCTCTTTTATTATTTAGATATAGTAAATTAGAGTGTAAAACAATTTTATACTTGATATTTTATTTTAGAAATTTTTTTCATATGTTCTCTCTAAATTTGGAGAGGGCTTTGTGGAAGCTTGCCGAAAGAAGTTCATCTTCTAATTTTGGAAGTGGGTCTTCTCCATTTACCTAACTTTGCTACTTTTAAGGTGTAATCTCTAATACCCACTTGATTTCATTATCATTTTGAGCATATTTGATAATTACTTGATATGTGGCTAATAACCCCCTATTCTTGGGGTGTGATTTAGCAATTATGGGTTTATCATTTCAAAAACAAAACTAACCAATGTCTTTTGGCTTCCTCGAGGAAGAAGTCGTGAAACTAAGACCACTAGATTGATCTCCGAAGGAGTGGGTCGATATGCGCGAGAGGGTGAGCCCTAGTTCCATACCCAAACACCCTTACTGAAAGAGCGAGTTTGGATAAGGCATAGGCTAGATAGTTTAGACGAGTGGGTGTCTGAGAGGAAACCATTTTATATGGGGTAAGTTTCTCAAGAAGGAACTTGCATTCACCTGAATCTTAGCCTAGTCACCATTGTCCTGCCAAATTAGCTATAGAAATCATATATCCACCACTTTTATCTTCACATATAGAGATCACACCCTAAGAACTCTCTACCATACTTGATTTCCTTTATATTTTTTCTATTCTACTACTTGTGACAAAACCCCTTTCGATAATTAACAATTTGGTGTCACAAATTAATTGTGTTAATATTTGAAAATGTCTTAAACTATCACTATATACAACAGAATTCTAAGTAGCTACTACCTTCACTACTACTTTCTTGGGACACGACCCTAACCCTTGGTTGGGTTACTATAATAGTTTCGATTCGTAGACACTCAAACTGTAGGCTAGTGTCGTCGGTCATGATCTAAAGCTAGAAACAAAAATTAAGCATCAAAGAATCAATTTTCCATGTGTTGCATTTTTTATGGAACACTTTGTTAAATAAGTTTTAAAATATCACATATGTGTTTAATTTGAAAATGTTTAATTAGACTATTTACCATTTACCATGTTGCATTTACCTTATTTGGCAAAATATTCATAAAGGTACTATTATATATAAAACTTCATTTTTTAAGGATGATTTGAGAACCTAAATACAAAGCCTTTCCATAATTATTTTTAGTGAAACTAAATCATATAAATTTAAACGGAAAGATTACATATTTAAGTTATTATTAGATGTATGACATATTTGAAAAATGTTGTTGGAATACAAGTCATATGTTTTAGATATAGAGAAGAATATTAATCTTTATTTTATCACACAATTCCCATTAAAAGTTACTCAAGAATCCATAAAAATATTTTTTTAAATGACTTGTAAGAAAATAAACTAAAACTTTATAATTGGAGAAATTCTTAAAAATCATACCTCTAAAACATCGGCTATTGATTCATCATGTGTCATAAAATATGTTGGAACTTCAATTAATATTGCATCCTTATCATCACCATCTTTTCGTTGCTTATCCATATTCTAAAAGACAATAAGAAAAAATTAGTTAGATATTTAGTAAAACAAAAAGTTGTGTGAAATAATGCATGGTTTTCTAAAAGAGATAAAAATTGCTCACTTGCTACACGTTTGTGTGGATATATCAAGTAACATTTTAAGAAGATAATCTAAGAGATAGAATACCTCATATATAAAATAAAAAAATGAATGTTGATCAATCATATGCACTTTTTAAGAAGATACATGATGGTCGTGGTCATGCAAGTCTTAAGATTACTAAATTCGTGATAAATAGTTTTATCCTATTGGAATATGTAGCTCGTCTCCTGCTTTGACTAGAATTCCTAATCTACCTAGTAATCCTAAGGAAAAAGGAATAACTTATTTAGTGTAGATTCCATCAAAATATTTTGTGCATATCAGAAAAGGACGAAAACTAACACCTTGTAATTGGATTTACAAAACTTACCTCAACAACATTAGTTTTTGTTTCTTGAGATTCAAGTAAAGGTATGGGAACTTCCATCAATGTTGCATCTTGACCACCAACTTTGTCATGCTTATCCATATCCATGTTGCAAACATAAAAAAGTTAGTTAAAACTTTTGTAATTTTAAAAATTGTATGAAGTGATGAAGAAGGTTCTAAAAAAAGATATGAATTGTTCGCTTACTATGTTTCAAGCAATATTTTAAGAACGTGATCAATGTGATACAAAAATGAAAAAGAAAAGAGAAAGGGTTAAAAAATGTGTATTCATCGATAACATATATTATGTAACTAGATCAATATTGGTTGTTTTCATTTGAGATAGTTTGGTCATGTCATAGCTTGAGACTATGAAAAATCGAGGCATTAAATATACAAGAAAAAGGTTGTCTATGAAGACTTATCATTTTTGACATAATGTATATTTAACTAATGATATTGCACTACACATAAATATATGTACATGTGTATAGCTACTCGAAAGTATTATTTTTTATGTCTCCTATGTTTGCAGTAATAAAGATATAACATTAATCATTCATATATAAACTATTAAATCTCTATGTTTTTATGTTTGAACCTAAGTCATAAACTAAATTTTTTTATGATGCAACCATCTATTGAGTCTTGATAGTTATAAATGATTAGGTAAAAAAATCTCATATAATTAACATGTCAATTCAAAGGTTTTTGAAATATTATAGTTCATTAATTCAATTCATGTACTGCATACTCCATCTTTATCAATCATCATCGTCATTGTTCACCATTCCCAACTATTACAATCAATACCCCACAACTACCATCATCTATTACTTATCACTATCAATCACTACAATCAACAACAAAAATTAACATGAAATATTTAACCTCTTTTAATTTGTTTGAGTATTTATATTTTGTTGTCATGAAATGATTAAATTATTTTAGCTCTTAAGAAGAACATTATTTTTCTTTCATAACACAATTATCATAAAAAAGTTGTTCAATTATCTATTAAAAAATATTGTAGATTGCTTATGAGGAAAAATTAAGCACCATATCAGTAGACATGTTTTTCAAAAGCATACCTCTAAATCATCCATTAACATTGCATCATCGTCCACACAAATTTGGTGCTGGTTATTCATACCCTGGTAGAAAATAAAATTTAAAAAACTTCTCAGTCCAAGAAAATTGTTAAAAGTGGCTACTACCTTTAGATCTATAACAAGTAAAATTAATTCCCACCATATCAGTAATTATTTTTTTAAAAATTTGGTCAAACTCAAAATGATCGAGCCTCTCTCACTCTCCCTAGATGTACTAGAACATGAATACGTAAAATTATAAGAGAATATTAATAACATCAAAGAAAAAGAAAAAACAAAAAGATCCTAGATAATTTTATAAGAGAAGATATATATATATATATACACAATAGATCAATGAAATTAACAAGGCATAAGTGTAAACCTCAAACTTTTTTGTGGCCGATTAACTGGATTAAGAATCTTGTTATGATAGAATGAACACAGAAGGCGGAGAAGGCAAAGTTAGGTGAAGGAAAAGTTAGGGTAAAAAGAAACTACATGTATATATACTTAGTGTCTTTACTTTTTTTTTCTTTGAACACTTTTTTCGTTGGTAGCATTAAAGGCAAATTCATGTAATCTTCATTTTGAATGTTTTTTTCACTAAAATTATTTTACTTGTTTTTCCTATTAAGTCATCAAACTATAACTTTATTCCCTAGAAACAAATTATTTCTCTTTATAGATTTTTTAGTTGGCATACCATGTCGTATTAATTTATTATCCTCTTATAATGTATGATAAAATAAATTTTAGTAGCAAATATTAAATGTAGTTTTTTTAATTTTAGATGGATAAATCAATTTAATTTTGTAACTATGTTGAAATGAAATTATATCATCCTAACGAGGATGATATTCTCACGACTCAAACCGCCGTGAGTGGCATCAACACTAATCAAGCTTGTGGGAGAATTAAAGACTAACCCGGACTAACCAACATTGTATAAATAAAACCAACTCTTGGCAAGAAAATAAATAAAACCATTAAGTTACTAAAGAATTGAATCCAATATAAACCAAATTAGATAATTAAAACAATAGTGACACAAAAGTTACCCCATAACTTAAAATAATCATACCAAAACTTTAAATAGTTGAACTTGAGACGCAACCTCCAAACTGAACATCAACTAAAACAGATAAGCCTATGCATGAATAAATGGATAAGAAGATTTAGAAGGATCCATGGTATCCTGAAAGATTGAGCTCACTCTTGGACTAGAAATTAGATATCTCTCAACAGAGGTCTCGAAATAACCGCCGGAAGAGGTCTTTTACTTAACATGAAAAAGAACATGGATACAACTACACAAACCATAGAGTACTAGTGGGATCACATGGAGACACAAATATATGGATGTAAACAGTCAGTACAATATAGTAACATAGAACAATGTATAACATAACAACAATTATCAACCACATAGACTCTGAGTCACGTGTCTTGAAACAACAACACTTGGGTCAAATAATGTATAAGTACATCTCTCACATGATCACAATGAAAATATTGGGTCCTCTCAACAAACTAAAAATCACATACATGAAGCTCTCACAAAAACTAAACTCTGGTTGTTAGTGTGCCGACATGGTACCCGAGCACGCATAATTAGTTTACCAATATTATATCCGATTCATTCATTGTTAGTCTACCAGCGTTGTACCCAAGCCAACAAGTAAATACAAACATTCATTAACAACCACATAGCATAATGAACAAGGCCAATTGAAAATCACAACTTCATTAAATGAGGTTATAACCTATATGATGTCATTTCATATGTCTCCCTACCATGAATTACAGAAATGATACTACGAAATATTTGATATGCATTCCTACATAGTTTGGAACATTGTCGCAAACTGAAAAAATGTGTTTGATATCATTCTTTTTGTCCTACCAAGACAAGAAAACCTAAAACACACAGATAATGATAACAAATAGAATTATAGAAAGAATAAAGTATATCACCCTAATGAAATGTAGAAATCATAATAAACTTCACTAAACTATAACACCTTTGACAGAACAAGAGGAAAACGCTGGACCTCATAGCAGGCCATATACCGTGAATAAGACCATGATGCGTCACCCTCATTGTGTCTCACACCCAATAACAAGATGGAGGAACAGGAACACTAAAAGGTCCATGGAACTCAAGAAGAGCTGCCAAGTTGGCGTGGAAAACAAATAAAACCACCCAATGACTTGTGAGGGACCATATACCACTAGACTGTTCGTTAAACCCCACACGGTCCGTTAAGTTGCCTCTAAAAAAATGACCCTGTACCACCCCAAATTCTATGAGAAACCAGGTTTTCCCAGACGATTGGTGGTGCTTCATAAAGTCCATGAATGGGCCTGTGAAAGAGGACTATAATCTTTTAAGTCACGGTAGTTTTTTTCTTTTCCCCTATAAGTTATGCAGTTAAACTATGTTATTTTATGCCTAAATTACATTTGTTTAGTCACTCTAAGCCTTATAATCGAGTTAGAAATAACCTAGGACCCTAATTTTCCTAATATCATCCAACTTAAAAAGAAAAGCTTACAAAGAGGCGATAATTTCTCCCAAGAACAAGTAAAGGTTTTCCTCAAGTTCAGCCCCGAAATCCAAATAATTTATGTTTAGTTTTCATCAGCATTTATGTTCGATTTTACTTTTTGGTTTCTTTGACTTATAAGGTCCCTTTAATTAAGTTAGTTCTTTTATATCTCATAAACTTTTCATACCTATGGTTTCTAGATTTTGAAGATTTGTTCGTGAATAAATATAGTCACATGAATAGAACCAAGAACCCTAGGTTGTGTAAATTTATAAAATATCACGAATCATACATGCAAGGAAAATATGACTAAATCTTTCCTCAAAGTTTGAAATGCAAGTCTTCAATATATATATGTTGCATTCTTAGTTAGCATATTAGTTTTTTGAGATACTCATTATTTCACTCCATTTAAGCTTCTCGTATTCATCTGGGAATCGATATAGAACTAAGTTGGATTAGTGTTCAAGTACCCTTAAGTACCAAAACAATGTGCCTACATAGGTTCATAAGTCGTATTAGTTCGGTATTCGTTTAAGTGACCACACCATAGTAAACCTTATACCCATAAAAAGGGCTCACGTGGTTTATGTTGTTAACCAAACGTCCCATAGTCAGAATGTTATTGCATTTACATATTTTTAGCATTTAAATAACTATACAATTTAACCTGTTAGCTTCATGATTAGTACTTGTTCGTTCCATCCAGTTTAGTTTAATTTTGCTTCAAAACAATTTATTACTTTGTTGAGCTTATATATATACACATCCTACATGCTCTGTTCATTCAAAGTACTGACACATACTTTTGTACTACATTGTTTTATGATATAGGTTTAGAAATTAAGCATCCAGATCACTCTAAGTCCAACTCCCAGTTTGAATTCATCATAGGTATAGTGATACGTTTATGGGGTAGCCATGGGATGGGAAAAACTTTATATGAGAGAATCAGTTCAACAGTCTTAATCTGAGATACGCACTAGGCACTACTTCTTGCATGGGTGTGTAGCACACAACACCTATAACGGAGAGGTTACTAGGTGTTCTAAGAATTTTCTCTTATTTTGTTATTTTTATTGTTCACAATGTGTAATTCAACTTCCCCTTTGTAATCCATTGTTATGCATTTTATATCATGCCTCCTTGTAGAACTAATACATAAAATGCTAACACATTTCCTCCAGTCCCGAAACATGAGGTTACAAATGCAAAATTCTAGAATGCAACCTAGCTTTTGTCTCAAACGTATCCAACTTAAACAATCAACATACATTAGTTTAGGCAAACCTTGAAGGTCGATTAGCTATAACCATGGTACAAGATTTCAATGCTTATGAATCCTCCTAAGTTCTAGGGTTGCAGGTAGGTGAGGAACTACATAACTTCATTAATGAGATCAAGAAGATTCTTTTTGTAGTGTAAGTGATAGTACTGATAAGGTGGACTTGGCATCCTTCAATTTTAAAGATGTGGTCATATTTTCTTCACATAATGGAAAGACAACTGGGGTGCGGATGCAGCTCGTGTGACATAAAACTACTTTGCTTGAGTTTTTTTGATAGGTTCTTCTCAAATTTTTTAGGGAGGCTAAGTACTAATTAGTCATAAACAAGAAGTAGGTTTCTATTATAGTCCAACAATACAAACTGTAGTTCACGCAACTCTCCAAGTATGCTCCACATATGGTTGACGATTTAAAAGCACAAATGAGCAGGTTCTTTTTTGAAGTATCCGATCTGGTGAATACAGAGTGCGGAAAGGCCATGTTATTTACAGGTATGAATATATCCAAACTAATGATTCATTCTGAGGAGGTTTAGGGAGATAAGCGTAGGTAAATGTACAAGACTAGGATGGATAACTATGAGTACTCTCAGAAGATGCCACGTAGTAGAAATCGCGCAATGTTTCAGTAGAGGTCTACAAACCCAACACATTTAATAAGCTAGTGCTTCGTCCCCCATGTTTCAACATGATCAAAAAGGGGGAAGGGAGAGCATTAGACTAACAGTCACCAGGGAGTGCTTCAAGTAACCAAAATTTCCCAACTTGTCAAAAGTGTTGTAAGAATCATCCAAGAGAGAGTCATGCAGGCATAGAAGGGTTCTTTGGGGGTGGTTAGTCAGGTCATAGGTTGAAGGTTTGATCCTCTTCAAGTAAAATACAAGAGGAAACATGTATCTATCTACAACTTCGGCAGCTTCAACTGGTCGTCCTAGTGAGTAGGTGCTTCATCTAGTTGAGATGGTGGTCAGTGTCATATAACATTGTATTCTCTTCAAGCTTGAGAGGAAAAAGAAGATTATCCTAATGTGGTCAATGGTTTGTTGCAAGTCATCCATTTTGAATTTTTATGCAACGTTACATCCATGGGTTACACTTTCCTTTTTTCACTCCTTATATAGAATTAAACATTTTTGTTAGTCCCAAAACTATCTCAGAATCCTTATGAGTCTCTACTCTAGGTTGTGACCCAGTTATAGGTAGATGGGCTTACAGAAGTTGCAT